CCATGATTCTCTGTGATCACGTGACCCAGATCTCAAGAAATCTCGCGCTTTCAAATATAGTCTTTTTAAAAGTTTTATTTGTGTAATTTAGATGTATATTTTTTTGGTTGTATCTGATTTTCTTTTGTTGGTATTACTGTTGTTGTTGGTGTTGTTATTTTGTTATGATTATTATTGGTGTTATTATTTTCATTACTATCATTAGTAGCAGTAGTAATAATGAAAATGATAACAATGATAATGAAGTCAATTATGGTGATAACAAAAATTATATTAGTAGTCAATGGTGGTTTTAGTAGTAGTAATAATGATAATGGTAATAATGTAATGATAATAATAATAATAATGATAATAATAACGATAATAATAGTAGTAGCTGTAATAATGATAGTAGTTATAGTCACAATAATGATAGTAATATTAATAGCTATAATAATGATACTAATGTTGACAGTTATGATAATTATAGTAATAATGATAATAATAATGATGATGATGATGGTAATGATAAAGTGATGATGCCGATAATGATTATAATAATAATAATGATGATATAAATGATTTTACTAGTCCTAGTACTACCACTACTACTACATCAACTACTACTACTACTGATGATGATGATAATAGTAATAATAATAACAATAACAATGAAGATAATTGTGATTATTATTGCTATTACCCAAATAATGTTTTTATTATTACCTAAGGACCGTACCCTTATCAATTTTCACTATGATTATCACTGCAGAAACAACAATAATGTATTAAGTAGAAAGAATAGAATCACACTTCCATACAGACCACGGCAGGACAATTAAAAACAAAACAAGAAATAAGAAAAGAAAAAGAAACAAACATTAAAAATTAAAAAATACCAATAATAACCCAATAAAACCTCATAATAAAACCAACGAAAGAAAGCAAAATGCAATAAAGAAATAAAAGAGTTTATTAAAAATGACATAAAAATAATCCTACAATTATAGGAATGAGTGAATGGAGCGAAGGAACATAATGAAATAATGACAGTGCATGATAAGGTCGAGTTTCCAGTCTCTGAATATTGAAAGTGAATCTTAATGAACTGAATCTATTAGTGGCAGAATTGCGTAACATTCTTATGGTCTTAATTAATGGGAGTGATATAATTAGATTGTTGTCTCAGCTGGTTATGCTATTTTTTTTTTTTTTTTTTTTTTTTTTTTGTGGCTGTCGTTGTGGTTATTATGATTATTATTATGGCTATCATGTTAAGATGATTATCGAGATTGAGCTTAGTTTATCATGATTATCAATATCACTTTATCCTTTTTTACTCTCTCTCTCGCTCTCTCACTTACACACACTTTCTCTATCTATCTGTCTGTATGTCTATCTGTCTCTCTCTATCTATATGTCTGTCTGTTTGTCTCTCTCTCTCTCTCTCTCTATCTATATGTCTGTCTGTCTGTCTATCTCTCTCTATCTATATGTCTGGCTGTCTGTCTCTCTCTTTCTATCTATCTGTCTGTCTCTTTCTTTCTCTCTCCATCTCTCTCTTTCTCTCCCCTCTGCATCATCTTTCTATCCATCTATAAATCTATTTGTGAATCTGGAAAATCAATCGACTTTAGCCATCTTAGCTTGAATATATTGACCTAAATATCTAAATCAATTCATAAATTCTAGATCGCCATACAACATACAATAAACAGCCTACAAATCAAATGCATATTTTGATTACAAAAGTGACGATCAGATAGCAACGACCTGTGTCCTAAAACATCCCTTTCACTTGTTCTCGGTCACGTCAACTTTCATGAATTTGAAATCACTTCGACCAGTCACTTCCCTTTCCTTCTTTTCATGTCATTCCGTGAAAAAGAAAATCATTTTTAAAAGAGGTGGGTGTTGGCTTTTATTAACGCGATAGAAGTGTATGACGAGACCTTTTATTTTTTGCGATTTTTGAAAATCTTTGGATGAGAAGCTAGTGATATTTTTTTTGGTTAGAGAAATGGGTCGTTTTTACTGCACATCTTTCGTCTTCTTCTCTGTCTGTCTGTCTCTGTCTTTGTTTCTCCCGCCCTCCCTGTTTGTCTATCTCTTTCTCTCTCTCTCTCTCTCTGTCTCTCTTTCTCTCCCTCCCTCTCTGTCTATCTGTCTCTCTCTCTCTCTCACACACAATAAATACTTCTAAAAGAATAAGAAAAAAACAAAAAAAATCCAAAACAACAACAACAACAAAACACACAAAACCCCTTCCAAAAAAAAAAAAAAAAAAAAAAAAAAAAAAACTTCCAACCAACAACCACCCACACCCACACACACACCCCCCACCCCCCACCCCCTACACCCACCTGTCGCCTCCCATCGGCACAGAACGTGGTACTGTCCGGACACAACATTCCCGTCGCTCTCCTCCGTCTGGCCGTAGTCAGCGCCGTTTCGCGGGTCGGTGATCGAGTAAGCGAACACGTAGGGCTTCAGCTGGGTCTCGAGGGCGGGCCTGTGGGTCCTGTGGAGAGGAGAAGGGATGGGTGGGAGGTTGCGGAGGCGGCTGTGGAGGGTGGTCGGGTATGGTGGGGGTGGTAGGGGGGGGGTCTTCAAGTGAAGGGATGGTGGGAGGTTGCGGAGGCGGCTGTGAGGGGCGGGGGTGGATGGGTGGGTGGGTATGGTGGGGGTGGGTAATTTGCATTGAGGGTGGGTGGGTGGGGGTGTCTTCAAGTGATTATGGGGATCGTGTTGTATAAAGATGTATATAGAATGTTGCTGTGATAGATGTAGGACATTTACTCGTGTGCTGTATATATATATTATATATATATATATATATATATATATATATATATATATATATTATATATATATATATATATATATATACACATTCACGCAGATATATGTGTGTGTTTGTGTGTACGTTTGTGTGCGTGTGTGTATGTGTGTGTGTGTTTGTGTGTGTGCGTGCATTCGTGCGAGCGTGTGTGCATATCTGTGTCCGTGGTGTGTGTGTGTGTATAGATAAATATGTGTATATATATATACATCTATAAATAAATACACATACAAGTAAACACGTATATATACAGTGCATTTAAGGAGTTGCCATCCACTATCTATTAGCTTCACTACCAAAAAGAACAAAAGAACAAAATTGAGTTAAAACGATTTCACATAACGAGAAAAAACCGCTTGGCCACATACACATAGGTATATAATTGGGAATGAAAGTGTCTGATATATCAACATTTTTTTTTTTCTCTCTCTTTCTCCTTTTTTTTTCTCTCTCTCTCTTTCTCCTTTTTTACACTTCTCTGAGTTCGCCGAGTCACTTCAGTTCCCTGAGGCTTCAAAATTTTGTCGTTTCAGAAAGCAAGAAAAGAGAAATAGAGAGAAAGGGCAAGGCAGAGAGATAGTGTCAGATAGATAGATAATAGATGGATGGATGGAGAGATGTTTAGATAGAAAATGAGAAAGAGAGAAGTAGGGAGGTAAGGGAGAGAGAGAGAGAGAGAGAGAGAGAGAGAGAGAGAGAGAGAGAGAGAGAGAGAGAGAGAGAGAGAGAGAGAGAGAGAGAGAGAGAGAGAGAGAGAGAGGGAGAGAGGGAGAGAGGGAGAGAGAGAGAGAGAGAGAGAGAGAGAGAGAGAGAGAGAGAGAGAGAGAGAGAGAGAGAGAGAGAGAGAGAGAGAGAGACAGACAGACAGAGAAAGACAGACAGACAGACAACGAAATATAGATGAAGCGAAAGAGACAAAGATAGACAGACAAATAAAATATACCAGAGACACAGAAGCAGAACAGAGAGACGCCCACACCTCTATATACAATAATTTCTCCTTCTCTCACCTCCCCCCTCCCCCCTCCCCCCACCCACCCCCTTCCCTAATGGATGCCCAGCAGAGAAAGGAAAAGAAAGGAAAGAGAAATCGCATTGTATTTAAACGGGAAACAGGTTCGGAGACAAAATCTTTTCTGTAAAAGGGAAGAGAATGCAGGAATTCCATCCTCTATCACATATTTTTTTTTCTCTTTCTGTGTCACTGATCAGATTCACTTAAATGTTTGCAAAACGTCAAAATGAAAGTGTTCTGTTGTGTAAAAAGGGTGAAATTTCTGAAGATTATCAATTTTTCTTTTTGAAAATGGTGAGATAAGATGATTTTAGTGTTGTTAAAAAAAAGGTTTATCGAAGAACTTGTAACATTAATGGAGTTCTTTTTATCTAACCCAATTTTCATAAATTCTTAAATACTCGTGTAAGCAACCGAAACAAATAATACGCACACTTAAATCACATACATTTATATTCATTAATTTCCAAAACTATCGGTAGAAAAAAATACAATACAGAAAAAATACACACATAAACAACACACATTAATAAAAAAAAAAAAAAAAAAAAAAAAAAAATTATATACATACACAAACATACAAACTATACACATGCATACATACACACAGTCACGCACACGTCGACGTTCAACGGTATACCTTCGATCACGCAAAGGTATAATAAAGCGTGTGAAATAAATAACTGATAACAGGGAACGGGAGACAAAGCGAGAACTCCTGAGAAAAAAAGGCGGGAAATTCCTTCTGTGCATTCGCGAAGAGAAACTGTTCTTTCTCTTTCTTTTCTTTCACTTATTGTTTATCTATTTATCTTCATTATTTTTCCGTGATCAAAATCGTCAAGTTTGTCATTATTGTTGTTATTGCTGAGGATATTATTATTGTCATTTATTATCCTGAGAAAAAAGGCGGGAAATTCCTTCTGTGCATTCGCGGGGAGAAACTTTCTTTTTTTTCTTTCACTTATTTTGTTTACCTATTTATCTTCATTATTTTTCCATGATCAAAATCGTCATGTTTGTGCATTATTGTTATTTCTGCCGTTTTTATTATAATCCTGTGAAAAAAGCGGGAAATTCCTTCTGTGCATTCGCGGGGAGAAACTAAGTTCTTTTTTCTTTCACTTATTTTGTTTATCTATCTATCTTTATCATTTTCCCATT